TAGTTACCTAGCATTGTGTGCCTAGAGACTATAGTAACTAGAATTGTGGTAGGTGGCTTGCTTTTTAGTAGTTTAGCGCAAGAATTGCTTCGCCTCATTTTTGTCTAACCACTCTGCTTAGTATTGTTGTAGAAATTTTTATAGGCTATTCACCTCCCCTCTAGCCATTAGGACCTTTCAGACATTCAAATTGGTAATTTCTCAACGTGCAATCAAAAATCAGTTTGAGTTCAATACTGCAAAGAGTGCACTAAATAGGTTCAGGGCATATTATTCAAGGAGAGACAAAGACAACTGTCCATGGTGGATATTTGCTTCTACCACTAAGGACAATTGCACTGTTATGGTAAGGCTTTGTCTTTGTCCTTATGTTAATTGAGATTGCATATTATTTAGAGCTGCATTATTTATCTTTCTAACTAATTGTTTCTCATCTTATAGGTGAAAAGGAACCCATGTGCTCATGCCTGCTCTAGTACAAGGAGGAAAAAGAGGGTGAAGAATGCAACCAAATTTTAGATATGTGAAAAGGTGAAGGACTTCCTCATAGTGGATGCAACTTTGGGTGCAGCGGAATTGGTGAAGAAATTAAAAGAACACCATAAGGTAAATATCAACTACAAGAGAGTGTATGATGGTAATGAGATAGCATTGAAACAACTTTATGGTGACTGGGATTCCAGCTTTGATAATCTATTTAAGTTTAAAGCACAAGTTGAGAGTTGTTGCCCTGATAGCTTAGTCATTATTGACCATCACATCGTAGATGACAATATCAGATTTAGAAGATTCTTTTTTGCATTAAAACCATGCATAGATGGGTTCCTTGTTGGTTGTAGGCCATACCTTGCAATAGACAGCACATTCTTGACAGGCAAGTACAAGGGGCAATTGGCCAGTGCCTGTGCTGTTGATGGGCATAAGTGGTTGTATATTGTTTGCTTTGGAGTTTTTGATTCATAAACTACTAAGAACTGGATTTAGTCCATGAGTCACCTTAGAGAGGCCATATGATCACCAAGGGGCTTAACCATATATATTGATGCAGGACAGGTTGTGATGGCAAGGGTGGGTAAAGTATTTCTAGGGGCTGAACATAGAGAATGCTTGTTTCATTTGGTGACCAACTTCAAGAAAATGTATCATGGTAAGGTGTTTGATGACCATCTATGGGCAGCAGCTTACTCATGGAACCCATATTTGTTTGAAAAACATTGGCTTGCTATGGAGAATGCAAAGCCAACCGCAACAAATTGGCTAAAGAAAACCCACAAAAAGTTGTGAACAAGGAGCCAATTCAAAACCATTTATAAGGTAGATTATGTGACCAACAACCTTGCAGAAAGCTTCAACAACTGGATTAAGCCTCACAAGTCCATGAACTTGGATGATTTCACGGATAAGCTTAGGCAAATGCTCATGTCCAAGTGGAACAAAAGAAGTAAAATAGGGAGAAAACTTCAGGGCTTGATTCTACCCCACATCATCAAGGAATTGAATGAGCAGAGTAGAGAAGTAAACTTAGAAGTTGAAGAATGCTCAGAAGAGATAGTTGAAGTTACTGCAATGGGAGGAAGTGGATTTTGGTTTATTGTTAACCTACAAGAGAGGACTTGTTCTTGAAGACAATGACAGGTTTCTGGGATTCCTTGCAAGCATGCACTGGCATTCATCACATCCCTTAGCGATGCACCAATAGAGAATTATGTTGACTTGTACTACTCGGTTGAGAAATTTAGAGTTGCATACAGTCAGTTGATTCCTGCTATGCCAGACAAGTCTCAGTGGCCTGAATCTAACTATGAATTTTTTATGCACCCACCTTTATTGACACCCGTTGCTGGTAGGCCTAAAACTGAAAGGCACAAAGGTACCAGTGACAAGAAAAAGAGAAAAGGACAGCACCAGTGCCCTATTTGTATGGACTATGGACATTATTGGCATAATTGCAAGAGAGGCATACCAGAAGACATCGAAGCTATGAAAGCAATTAGGTAATAACTTGTCTAGTCTTCTCTACCATTTATGTTTTTCCTTTGTAAAGTACATGCTATTGATTCTATTCTTATTTCTGGGGAGAACCAAAGAAGAGGGCAAGGAACACCAAATCTACCCAAAGTTCCATTATGCCTTTGGAGAAAGATGCACCAGCGGCATCCATGTCTTTTCCTCCAAGGTTTGGTATTTCTTCCTTTCTCACATGTTTAATTCGCACTTCTGATGGATTCTAAGTACCAACTAATTTGTCAACTCAGTCAAAACTTAGAAATAACATCTTATAAAAAAGAGAAAAAGTGATGATTGTACACCTGCAGCCTCTAAAAGATAATTTTAAATGTTGCTAGAATCTCTCTATATTATCACATCTTGCTTTGAAAACGAAATTATTTGACTATCATGATAGCCAAAGCCTAGAGGTTTCAAGTTAGAAAAAGGGAAACCGCACTAACTCCAACTCTGGACGTTCAAAATTGTACATTTTCTAATTCTGAATTTCAGTTACATTCATCTAATTTTTTCCTCTTACCTAAACCATTGTCAATATATAACATTCATAGGTCAAGAAGTGGGTCAAATCAGCCCAAAGCACTTTCTATTACTTCACACAAAGATCGACCTGCTCAAGTTAAAAGAAAGTGGACACTCATCAAGAAGAAGCTAGGCCTTCCAAAGAAGAAAGATGTAGATATTCCGAAGGTGCCACTTGACAGCCCATCGATGGGTACAAGAAGCAAGGCAGTACTTCCTAGCAGCCCTGCCATGAGCACGCGAAGCAAAAGAAAGCCCAGTCTTTGATTTGTGATATGCCTATTAAATTTGCTAGTTATATGTGAGACCAATGTATGTTTGAATTTGCACTTTTACGAGACCTTATTTATGTGAGATTGAAACTATGGTGAATTTATGTGAGACCTTATTTATGTGAGAGATATGGTTAATTGCAATGCATTTGTGAATTTTTAGAGCACATAATATACTGTTATGTGTCCTATTTTCTTAATATTACTTCAAATATGTACTGTTACGTGTACTTGATTAAATACTCCAAATATGCCCTACTGTTATGTGTGAATTTATTTGCTTAATATTACTCCAAATATACAACAAACAAGCAAAATTCTGCAATTATTTTTTTTCGCCAGGGGCAAAATGGTCTTTTTACCCTTGACTTAACACTGTTAAAGTGGCAAAAACGGACGAAAGACCATAGAAAGAATGAAAGTTTGTTTCAGGGCCATAGAGGTAAGTTCAAAAAAAGAGTCATACAAGAAAGGGCCATTTTTTCAGGATCATATGGATAAAAAGCTCAACTTGGTTGTTCTTGCTTCTAGTTTTAGAGTAGATAGAGCAATATGATCCAATTATTTGTTTGTTCGTTCATCATATGTTCACTTAATCATGCTACGACTAGTAAGTAACAACTTGAGCATAGCATACTGTGTTTAACCAATGCCATGCATTTATGCGTACATGAGGAATCAAGAGTGGAAGCGATGAATCCACATATTATGTTGTACTTGACGATACATTTGTCGATATTCTTTCATCGTTTCAGATGCATTTTGGACCAATTACAGAATGTTGAATCTTGCGACATCTCTAATATTTTGGGGTTAATCGTTGTATTCAGCGTAAGAAATACACTGTGCCTTCGTTGTTCAAAAAGACTCTTCTGTATGGACGAAAGCCATTACTAGAGAAGATGATGAAATAATCTATATATATAGATTATTGCATTCTTATTACAGGTTTTTCATAAGTAATTTGAGAATGTACGACATATCTCGAGATTCATGAAGTCACCACAGACGCCTCGCTGTCGACGGGGACGTCACCTACCACTAAAAACATAACGCCATTAAATCATAGAATAAATTCAGGAAAATACGAGCACATGTACCAAGTCGAGGACTTAGAACCCAGGTGGACAGATTTCCACCACAAGAAGCCTAATCAACTGATCTAAGATCAGTTAAAAAACATTTTTAGTTGAAGAAGGTAAATCGGACTATGGCATAATTAAGGGCTCACTTTTTCCTCAAACAAATCCTAGTACTGGGCTGGTTGCGCGAGGCGGATACGTGAAAACAAAAGTCCATGACACCACGAACCGCTTCATTCACCTCCCATACTGGGTCCCGGAGCCCACGTCGCCCAATCTTTCACTGTCACCGCCATCTGGGCCCCATCCCTCCTAGGCCCACATGAAGTGCATCTAGGACCCCCACGTATCGGGGGCAAAACTGTAGAGCCTTTTATATATGTGCCATTATAAAAGATGGTCGCGGTCTACGTGCCACTAAAAAGTTCGAACGCATCTAGGTGTCATGACACTTTTTTTTTGCCTCCCAAGCCATTCCGCCCACCTTCCGTTTGGTTTTTGCCATTTGCCAGCCCTGACACGTGGGCCTAGCCAGTGAAAACGTCTAAAATGCCCTTCTCTCGTAACCTCATCGTCTACCTCTTTCTCTCTCCGCGGGGTGGGGCCAAGCTGTCAGCGACTCCAACCCCTTCTTCCTCCTCAAGATGAGCAGCGCGAGCTGAGGCCTGGCGCCCGCTGCTTCAGCCGACGTAGAAGGAGCATGAGATGACGACGGGGATGGGGATGGCACCGAGGATGGGTCGGTCTCCAAGTCCGTCTCCACGCCCTCGCTCATGCCACCGAACCGGAGGTGCTCACCGTCTGAGCGCACCCCTGCCCACGCGCCCATCGCTAGCACGAGCCTTGTCCTCGGACGCCCGCCTTGCTTGCATCTCACATCGGGTGCTTCGGTGCCACCACGAGCGCATGCTCACCATTCTTGGGGCCGACCGAGAGCCGCGCCGCGCCTTGCAGGACGGCCGCACGTCGCTCCTGAGCTGCCCGTGAGCCGCGCTTGAGGTCCGGCCACGCCGCGTCCTAAAGGATGGCCGCGTCGCCTTAGGGCCGACCGCGCCTCGCTGAACGCCGTGCGCGCGGGGCGGCGTGGCCGGTGGGGTAGAGCACGGCTACGCGCAGGATGATGTGGCAGGGCGCAGCCATACGCGTGGCTGGCGCGGCCATGCGCCGCCTCCACCGGTGGAGCCGCCTCCTACACTCGGCGCTCTTCTACAACCACGGCGCGGTGGTCGGGTGCCACCATTGCCCAGAGCCCAACCACACCGAGACAGGGCTTCTTTGGCGCGTTCCGCTTCGCCATTCGCGGCGTGCTCCGCGAGGTCGTCCTCGGCAGCACCAGGGCGTAGTGGCGGGGCGATCGCGGCCTGAAGTTGGCCGTGCTAACGACCGAGGTTTGCTCGCCGGCGTCAAGGATACTGAGACGATGACTAAGAAAGGGATGGAAAAATCCAGTCGTGCACGTTCTTGGCTTTGCGGCCATGGCGGACAGCAATGACCGTATCAGCCAATGCAACCCCTACCCTTGATCGTTCTCGACGGGATTGCTTCTAGGAGCTAGCTTTCAACCTTAATCACTCATTGCTATAAGGAATCGAAATGAGAAGGCTCGCTCGTGGCGAATTTTGAAAGATGCAGAGGGTGGCCATGGTGGACGCATTCTGGCTTTTATAGCCGGGCATCGCGAGGCAGGGCAGACACGGGCTCGATCGGTGCTCGCGGTGGTTTCCAGAGCACAGCGGGGCGTCCACTTGCGCAGGTGGCAGCACCGCGGATACGGGTGGCGGGCGCCACGCTTGCCGCGCAGGGGGAGCTCGCCGTCGCCATGGATAAGGCCCAGGCTGCGGATGACGCCTAGGCCCAGACGACGACGTCGTGTGCGGCCACGGTGTACGCCAAGGAACGGCAACCTCGCCTGCGTCTAGCTCGCCCACCTTCCAGAACGGCGCTCAAGGGCCTCGTGAAGCTGCAGGAGCGGTCGCATGACGACAGCAACTTCACCACCGTGCGCCGGGGCGGACCTCTCTCGCGGCGGCCGAGGCAGAGCTCGCCCATAGCGGCTGGGGCAGAGCTAAGCTCACCCGTACGCTAGTAGCGGTGGCCGGGGCGCTGGTCGCGTTGGCCGGGGATGCCCCCAGCACTGCGTCGGCTTTCGGACGCCATTGATTCAGCGGGGGCGGCGCTGCTACACGAAAGAGAAGAAAAAAGAGGAAGGTTTGGGTGGCTGATAAACGGGCCCACTATAGGACAATATGGTCATTTCATCTGTCTGTTTGACACTATTAGAGATAAAAGTGGACGGAATGATATGAAAGACAAGAAAGTTTAGCGTTATACGCTCAGTTCGCTGGTCTGAACTGGAAAGTTCAGCCGGCTGGTTCTCCTCCCATTATACTGTTCATCAAACCAGTCAATATTGTTTCTCTCGCACAACCAATCAGTTTCAGTTGTTTCTGCCAGCCGAATTGGGGCCGTAATATCAGGATGCATTCGAACTTTCCAGTGATCCGGAGGCCACAACCATCTTTCGTAGTGGCACGCACCTAAAAGGCTCGAAACTGTACTTGGCCCAGCACAGGGGTAGGGTAATACTTGGCCGCCGCTGCGCTCTTCCACTCTCCTATCCCCCACCTCACTCCGCTTGTGCGGCCGCGTGGTGGTGCCTTCCGCGGCGCTGCGGCTGCGCTCCGATCCCGAGCGAGCAAATATCCTCGCCACCCCACCACGAGACCCTCGCACCGCTCCGACGCGATCGGCGCCGTCGAGCCACCCGAGTCTCCCCTTGCGGTTCGTTCTCTCTCTACCCGCACTGCTCCCCTCTACCTCGTCGTCGCTGGATCGCGCGCCGCGGGCCTGGCTTGCGCGTTTCGATCCGCGTGGCCAGAGCGTTTCATGCGCGTTTGTGCTCTGAGGTTCGGATGGGGAGGAGGAGGTTCTAGGGTTTGGGGTTGTGTTTGCGGTAGGGTTTTGGGGGTTTGTAGGGGTTTTCAGGGTTTGCGGTGTGGTGCACGGATCCTGATCTGGGGCCAGGATTGTTTGCCTAGATTACTGGTGTTGCACTTGGATGTTGCCCTGCATGATTGCTGATTACTCAAGCTAGTGTTGTCTGGCGCCGTGTGATGTAGACTGCAGTGGTGTCGGAGTCAGTAGGGGGGCTGCCAGGGGGCATGCTGAATGGATGCCCCCATAATCCTTTTTTTTTTCACTGAAGCCTTTGAGACCAAAAAGAACTTTAGTGCATGTTTTAATATTTGGTTCATGGATCAACTTAGTTGGGCCCCATAATCATATAATCCTAGCTCCATCACTGGCAGTGGAACAGATGTACAAAGCTTGAACATGCATAATGATATATTGTTATTAACTAGCAAACATGCCCGTGTGTTGCAACGAAATGTACATCTTATGTCATTTGCTATAATACATTTTGGAATCGGACTATGTAGTGTGGCTGGACGCTCGCTATTCTAACTCATATGAGCAGAGGTCGTGAGTTCGGGTCATGGATGGGATAGTAAACCAATTAGGACTGTAGTATATTTCGGGTCAAGTATGAGCAGAGGAAAAGTATATTTCTGCTGCTATTTTAATTATGTAAGCGCATGCAAATTTGAAGTCATATAGCCATTTTTTCTTTTGAAAAGGATGTTTATAAACTATATGGGGTTTAAATACGTGTAATATTAATTTTTTTCCAGGGCAGCAATGCCATACTTTTACAACTTATTTTACCAATTGCTTACTTTGTTGATACCTTTCATTTATTCATTGTGAAGCTACCCTGTTGGCTCAGGGATTGCGTCTATTCAAGAATATGGGGAGAAAGAGCAACCCCATTGTCTTTCTGGATGTATCTGTAGGTGATGAGCCAGATGAAAGAATGATCTTTGAGGTATGTTTGATATTACTGTTTCTCAAATTCGTATTCAGATGATAGTGCAAGCGTGACTAAGACTGTGCAATGTTAAAGATCAGGAGCTGTAGCTGTGTCTTAGTTTGCTTGATCTGTTTAATAGCATGAGTTACCTTTCCTTGCAGTTGTTCGCTGATGTTGCACCCCTTACGACTGAGAACTTCAGAGCTTTATGCACAGGTAATCTTCTCTCCACTTCCTTTTCGTTAAATTAGTAAAAATTCATCTGTTAGCTAGTGTTACATATTATTTTGTAAATTGGTTTATGTGGCAATTGGACATGTTGCTCTAGATTCTAATGGTCGTGGTCTCATGTAATGCGTCCATCAAAATACTGAAGTTTTTGTTGTCATCTGTTCAAACTATTAAGTATTTGAAGTAGCATTACTTTCAAGTAGTATGATATGATGCAAATTTAGTAAATTCACAAAGCCACACGTACTCTTCCGAAATTATTGAAAAATTGACAATTTCAAGAACTTGCTTTGACAAACAACACTTTTTATTGCCTACAGTTTTAGAGCTACACTCATTTAGTGCTTGAAGGTTACTTAGTCGTCAAGCACTCAAGCACACTGGACAATTAGACCATGCTTACAATGGCCACTTAATGACATGGTGCTAGGAACCAGATCATGTCATATTGTTTATGAGGGAATGTGATGTTATCACCAAATTGCTAGGGTTATGCTATATCGCCCTTGTTTATCTAGATGTGGGTCTTAATCAGGGAGGGTTAGATCTGCTGATGCCCCATCCAAACAGTAACAATGAAAATTGTTTCACTGAAAGAGTTTCTGTGGTGAATAATGTTCCAGTGCTAAAGATTGTAATTCTTTTTAATTTTAGGAAACTGCAAGTTTAGTTTAAAGTTCAAGTGTAGCTTTCTTTTAATTACTTTGGGGTGCTTGTGAAATTTTGCCCTTTGATTGAAATAGGGCCACAGTTTTTCTGCTTTATCTAATTTCGCTCCAATGATTCCAGTTGTTGAGGAAATATTTTCCCTATATTGATGTACAATCCTTACTAATACAAACCCATTAGGACATTGACACAGTGTCCAATACTTCTGTTGACTAGCAATATCAAGAAAAAATAGATAGTATAAATTAAAAGGATTTGTATTTTGAAAATAATTATCCCGATGAATCTACCAATGGCGATCTTCTGCTGCAAATCTATGTGAATTTTTTAGATATTGATGTCTGGAGCTAAAAAGAATTTGACCTAGGACAAACCTAAATGGACCTGTACTTGTGCTCAGTGTAAGTAGTGCGTAGCTATTCTTTGCAACATGGAAGAATACCACAATAATGTATTTTATTACTGCTCTTACTATTTATTTTAATTATCTGCACTAAGCAACTGTCACTAATGCTGTGGTGGTACTAGTCCTTTTGTCGGCACTTGGTAGTCCTAATGATTTTTATTGTTCTTTGCTTAACAACGTTCTTTGGAATATTATTCAAACCTGAACTCTCTCATCTGCTTTCAGCCATAATCCAATATGCCATTCTGTGATTCTGTTTGAATATTTCCGAAATCTGAGAACCTAATCTATTCTTTCTGTGATGATTAACAATGCATATTTAGATGTTCATTGCTTCCTAGGAATTTAGTTAATTTCCTGTCAAAGTAATTCTCATGCTTAATGCTTAACTATATATATATTTAGCTTATAAATTTATAATTTCTCTTTAAATTTTAAATTTATCTTGAAATTTTGAGCAATGCGATGATGTTACTACAAGGGAGTCTCTTACAGATTTGAAGTAAAACTGGATACATGATACACCGGCTGATGTTTCTACTTCTTTGACAGTTATGTTCTGGCAGACAATTTGTTATAATATTCTTCGGGTTATGGCATCAAATGAAATTAGGATATGGAATGGAGATTCTGAACTTGTGTACATCAGTAAACACAAACATACTCGCTTATAATTACTATAACTTGAGCTGTAGACTTCTAGTCCATATCTTCTGTTCTAAGCTGTCAATCTAATTTGTCCATAAAAAAGCTAATTTGGTGTTGAGCCCAATGTTTTCAAGGCGGTAAGGCGAGGCGTGGCGACTGACTACCGCCTTACGATTAAGCGAGTAAGGCGTAAGGCGAGGTGACGCCTTAACAATTTAAGGAAAATTTAAAACAACAGCTCAGAGCAGTAAATGGTGAAGAAAAACAGAAAAGGAAAAACGAAAAAAGAACAGATGAGGAGTAAGAAGTGGTCTGGCCCAGCCCACCAGCAGCCCATGTGCCCCGCACGTCTTCATATCTCTCTAATTCCTCTCTCCTCAGCGCTACCGCAACTCTCTCCCAAATCCCTCTCTCCGTCTCTTGCTCCCCTCTCTCCTGTAGGCCAGCTCCGATTGGGAGGTGGCCGCGGTTCGCAGACGGCTGCTCCTCGCGAAACTTGACCAGAGGGGGAAGCTGTTCTTGAGGGGGAAGAGGACACGGCTGCATGGATCGGCTGCGGGCGGGTAGGCGGCAACTTCCCACGGCAGCGGGGGGGAATGCAGCGGCGCGGGCGAGCGAGCTGCGGCTTCCTATTCCTCTCTTGCTCTCCCGCTCACTGGTTGGTCTCCCGCGCGCCTGCTTTGTTTCTCCCGCGCGCCCGCTCCATCTACGCGCGACTTTTTCTCCCTCGTGCTTGCCCTCTTTCGTTTTTCTCCTGCCGATTCTCCCGTGTATGGCGCCCGCCATGCACGATTTGGCGCGAATCGGACGCCAAAGCGACGATTTCTGGACGACACGGTCGTAAGGCGGACGCCATATGAATCTAAGGCGAGTCGTCTGCTGTGGCGTCCCGCGTGGAGCGCCTTGGCGCTTAAGCGACGACAAAGCGACGCCTTAAAAACACTGGTTGAGCCGTTAATGTACTAATATGCGTTTTGGAAATCTTCTGATAATGTAGTGGGTGCCTTTGTTCTTTTTGCCACAGCCCACCTTGTGCATAGTCGAATGTACAGATTATATGCAATTCCGAGTTTAAAAAACTCCTCCCATTGCTCTGCTAATTGATGTTGCGCGCTTTAGGTGAGCTGGGAATTGGACAGAAGACTAAGAAGCCATTATGTTACAAGGGATCATCGTTCCACTGTGTCATCAAGGGGTTCATGGCACAAGTTAGTTTTTCTTCTTTTGTGTAGTTTTTTATTTATGCATTTTGCTTCTGTCTCAGTTACGATGTTTGTATTTTGTGGTTAGAATTTGGTTAGCTTTGTCTTGTTCTGTTTTTATTAGTCAGTTCCTTGTTTCCTTGTTCATGATGTAGGATGCAAGACAGATGATATCGACTGCTTTTCTTATCATATAGTATTTAAGGTTGTATGCAGTATTGTCTATGTTCGCTATTCTAATAATGAGTGCAAAACTTATTTGTTTTCTTAGCCATAACTGCTGAGGATGCTTTTTTTTTCAGGGAGGTGACATTGCAAAAGGAAATGGTGAGTTTGCACAATTAGTTCTTTACATTTTTCTAGTTCTTTTCCTTCCCGGAAAAAAAACAGCAATTCCCCTCCCCACTTCCATGGCCTTTCTCATTTTTTTATGTTCTCTTATAAACTAATGTTCTTGTGTACGTCTACTTAAAGGGCTTGCATGCACATAGCACTCCCTGTAAGTTTTGCAGTTATGTCCTACTTATGCTAATTTTGATGGTTTTTGTTTTCATTTCTCTATGTTATCACAATGTCCCTACCTTTTGATTTGACGATTATATTGTGCACTCCACGCTAGCATTCGATGTTCTTAAGTTTCATACCCCTTTTTTTTAACTGGAGTAGTTTAGCAGTCTTTTCTTGTCATATACAGTTATAATGGCCTTAATTTGGGTATCAAAATTTTCAAATTTGATTAGGGTTAGTTTGTTTTCATATGCAATGATTTGTTCCAAGATCCAGATGTATACTGTGCCAGCATTTATAGATTGCTGTATTTTTTTCTATTAATGTTACATATGGTGATGCATGTTACCATGTTTACTTTTTGGTAATATTTTTTCTGTTATACATTAGTTCTGTTTGTTTGATGTAATTCTACCTTGCATGTATAGTTGCAGCTTCCTGTGTTACATCTTGTTTTTAGAAATGACTACGATTTTAACTATGTTACAGGGTCTGGTGGAGAAAGCATATATAGTGGAAAATTTGCAGGTATTAACCATTTAGCTTGGTTTGAAATCTGTTATGTAGTGGAGACGTTGAATGCAAATAATGGAATAACCTTGCAACCTTTTATTTGAGGATTTAGAATGTTGGTTACCAAATACAGAGTCAAATGCTGTGTTGTTATGTGTCTACTGTCTACATTAGTAGTGTGTCCAAATTATAATAATCCAGTACAAGTTACTGCTTTGATCTTTTTGGCTGCTTTGCTCTGGAAATACTGGAGATCTTATTCAACTGTTCTGGTAAGCACGAAAGCAAACAGTATATCTGTAATGACAGTATATTATTTGCATTTCAGATGAAACTTGTGTTCTACCTCATGATGATCGTGGTCTCTTGACAACGGCAGCAGATACTGGTTCCAAAGCTAGTGGCTCCCAGTTCTGCATTACTTTCAAGCCTAATTCTCATCTTGACAGGTTTGTTCTGATCAATTCCATTTGAATGACAGTGTGTTTCAGTTTTGTACAAAATATATCTTCAGACATGTATGGGGACTAATCTTACATCCATTTGCGTTGTTGAATTGAACCTAAGCTCTGGATATTTGTCTCAGATCGATACTTATTTCCAGTACCAAACTGATTTTTTTTCTCATCCTAAATTAAAGCTCTAAGCGTCCGACAGCCATAGTCACTGATACAACGCCATTTGCTTAATTATCTGTTTTATCAAGCATTGGAACTACAGAAGATTAGTTTTCTGCTACTTCTTTTGCTTGTTCACTTGTAGTGTCTTTGGATCTCCGTTGTTGCCTAATTCAAAATGAGCAACTGCTTGTTGAATCACAAGAATTTGATGTAGTTCTGTATTATATGTGAAATCGATTCAGTTCTTTTTATAGCACCATTTGCCAGTTTATTAGAATTGGCATGTTGCAGTAATTTTGCGCGCTGTCTATGTGTGGAATTTTGCACTGTGGAAATTCGTTTCCTATGGTATGCATGTCTCTTTTTTGGTTGTGAAAATAGGAGGTGAGGGTAGGAGCAAACCTGTTTGACTGATGCATATGTGGACAGGAGTGAGGCTTAGTTTTGGTTTTGCTGTTTGGCTTTTTACTATGTTATAGGAATGTTGCAGGGCTTGTGGCATAAACTGTTAACTGGCAAGCCTCAATAATGTCTTGTTCAGTTTCATTTGTGAACTCCATGGTTTTCTGACTTAGTACAGTTTTGTTGGTAATATGACATTCTACTGTGTTGCAGGAAGCACACAGTTTTTGGCAAGCTTGTTGTTGGAAGTGATGTTCTGAAGAGGATCGAGCAAGTAGATGTGCAATCCCCTGATTCAACTCCTGTTGTTCCGGTTACTATAGTAAATTGTGGGGAGCTCATTGACCGCAAAGATGTTGGATCTATAGAAATTGGTAATGCTTATCAACTGAGTGGAATTTTTGCAGCACCTATTGATCCATTTAATATAAGGATTTAAGCTTTTTTTGGGGCATTTAGGTAAAGTTGGTCACTTTTGTATTTACCTTTTGAACGTCCTTTTGATGTGATAATGGTCATACAGATAAAAAGAGGGCTGCCAAATCAAAGTTGTCAAAGGATATATCTTCTGATGAGGAAAGTAATGAAGGACAACACAAGAGACGTCGTAACAAATCTTCAAAAAGGAGAAGGAAGAAGAGGAGATATTCTTATTCGGAATCAGATAGCTCTTCTGAGTCGGAGACTGAATCATCTTATTCTGAAAGCGATTCTGATACTTACTCGAGTGACTCATCTGATGTCAGCAGCTCAAGTGATGACAGGCGAAGGCGCAGAAAGAGACACTCGAAGAAAAATAAACACAAGCGTTCAAGAAGAAAGCGTGACTATAGGCGCGAAAGAAGGCGTAGGAAGCGTGATAGGAAATCAAAACAGAAGCCAAAAAGGTCTGTTAACATTGTCAAATTGAACATTCCTGACCTTTGGCCTGTAATATATTTTCTTTTATTAGCAGGATAATAAAGGGTGATAGTGAAGCTGAAAGTACGAGCGATAGCAGCTCTGAAGATGCTAGAAGCAAGAGACACCGCCGTGGGCGGAAGTCCAAGGCATCATCTCAAGTTTCTGGTAGTTTCTTTTCTTTTTGCCTATATATTCTTTACCACAATGTATGTTGAGCTTCTGTATTTCACCAAGTAAGTTGAAGCATAGATTCCTGAACTTTGTTCTGATTTCTCAGTTATTAGGTTCATGAACTCTGAGAGTTGGGAGTAACATGCCCTTAAACTTGTGCTACGTACCACATCAGCCAATCCTAACTTAAGAGGAGTTGCGGGGGTGCATTCATCATCATTAATGAACTGTTTAGGCACAATAGGATACCATATCTGGTTAAGTACTTCATTGTATTTCAAGAAACTGATAGGACAAACCTGACAAGGTTATGCAACGGCAGTAACTAATGCTACTCAAGCACAATCAAGAGACATCACAAAAGATAGAGTTCAATTTCTTGCATACTGTTTATTTACCCATCACAAATACTTGTGTTGTGGACAAAGATCTGGTCGAACTTGCGAAACCAACTATCAGAGACTTCATAGATACAGATAGTTGGTTTGGAATTATGAGAACCATTCACTTAGATTTGTCTTAAACTTACTGTCATATTCTCATAATTTTATTGGATTTATAAAAATATAAATATATTATAGTGGAGAATAATGGCTAAAGGTAGACCATGCCATGTCCAAAAATCAGGAAGTTCTGATTGGCTGGATATCTCTTTTAATCTTTAAATCATGATTGCATGGTATTATCGGTGGTATTGTTCTGTTATATATGTGAAGGGCGGGCCTGGTGCAAGCGGTAGAGTCTTACCGCCTGTGACCGGAAGGTCCCGGGTTCGAGTCGCGGTCTCCTCGCATTGCACAGGGCCTGTGACCGGAAGGTCCCGGCTTGCCACTGACACCCTTCCCCAGACCCCGCACAGAGCGGGAGCTCTCTGCACTGGGTACGCCCTTTTTTTATTGTTATGTTATATATGTCTTGCATGAACAACTGTATTGATTGGCCATCTAGTAAGGGATATATAGTTCTTGCTTGGTTTATGTGGTACATGTTTAGTTTAGTTCAACTAATGATTGCAATCTACACTTGCCTTTTCAGAGGAAAATCTTGCTGCAGTGGCTGCTTTGAAGGATGCCACATCACCTCAACAAAAGAGTGGAATACCAAGGAGTCCGGCACAAGATGTCTCCCCCCTGCAAAACGGGGAAATCCATACAAATGGTGTTAATGAATCAAAAATTGAAAGGAATGCAGCTGTCATGCCTGTTCTAACTGGCAATCGAAGCAAATCTAGGTTTCCTATACTTCTTCATACATAAATCATTCTTTGTGCTTACTGCTTCTGGAAGCGGTGTTTCATCTGATATTGATAAGCAGGAGCCAGAGCATGAGTGCTAATCACTCAATGAGCAAGAGTATGAGTATCAGTCCAAGAAGAAGCCCAATGAAAAGGTTAATTACCAGCCCGAAGAGGTCAGTTAGCAGGAGCCCTGTTCACCACAATCGCAGTAGAAGTCCTGTCTGTACTCCCAAAAGAAGCGAGAGCAGGAGTCCAGCCAGACGGCAGAGCATCAGCAGGAGCCCTGCTAGGAGCCTCAGCAAGAGCTCACCCAGAGGTGCAAGCAGAAGCCCCCACATAAGCAGGAGTCCTGTTAAAGCTCACAGAAGAAGCATCAGCAGGAGCTCAGCTAGGTCCATGCAACAGAGAAGTCCAAGCAGGAGCCTGGAGAGAGCTCATGTACGAAAAAGTGTCAGCCCAAGCCCACTATTGGAGAAGCGAAGAAGCATTACCCGAACCTCTGTGATATCTCCATTGCGAAGTGTTAGCCGGAGTCCAGTTAGGATTTCAAGGAGCCCACATAGGCCTTCTAGGAGAAGCCCTATGAGAAGTCCACGACGGAACATTCGCAGAAGCCTCAGCAGGAGCCCTGTGAGAACACTTAGAACAAGTGTGAGCAGAAGCCCAGTAAGAGGTGGCCGACCTCGCAGGAACATTAGCAGAAGTCCCAGTCCACATCGCAGGGCAGTAACACCACCAAACAATGGAAGGAGCCCATCCAGGAGTGATTCTCCTGATGGGTCACCAAAACGCATAAGACGTGGACGGGGTTTTACACAGCGGTACTCATTTGCAAGACAATATCGCTCACCTTCTGCTGATCGCTTGCATCGTTATGGCGGAAGAAATGACCGTGACAGGTAATTGAATCAAAGTTTGATCTGTTGTTTTCATTTGATTGAGAGTTTTAAATTATGTTACCCCCTTATGTAGATACATGGGTTACTGGGGTTCTCGCCATCGATCACCTCCTCGACGTTATAGAAGCCCACCCAGAGGCAGAGTGTCATCGCCAAGGTAAATGAACTGTTTATATGTGATAGTTAAAGAACTAGTTATTTTTCTATAGGTACCAGCTTCTGTTATCATTTGTGATGGCACGTCAGTGAACCAATTTTGAACAGGCAGTCATTTTTGTTTGATGCTTATTATTGAATGTATTATTTGCAAATGATTGAAGCAATTTTATTTGATTTTTTTTTTCAATCCGTATGCATAGCTCATTCTTGTGGTTGGTTCTTTGTCATGATTTATTTTATTTTGCCACTTGAGGCATAGTAGGTACAGGAGGAGGAGCCGAAGCACCTCACGCAGCCCTGTCCACAGAGAAAGAGGAAGGGGAGGTGGATACAGCAAAAGCCCTGCACGGAGCCTTTCACCCCCACCCAGACCAAGGTCACATGGTGATCGTGCACGGTCAGTTTCCAGGAGCCACCTTTCTGGGTCAAGGTCAAGGTCTCCACCAGTGCGTCATCCCTCCCCACCTGATTCCCCATCTCTGAAGCGTGCAAGTGATGAGAAATCTCAGTCCCCGTCTCGGTCACTGTCTGGTAGCCCTAGTCGTGGAGGCAAGAAAGGTTTGGTTTCCTACGGGGATGGCTCTCCTGATTCAGCTGGGAAGTAGGTTTCCACCGGGGCATTGAAATGTATTTTACTACCGTTGGCCATTGGCTGTTGATCGGTCCTTCAGCACTTTTGTTACAATTGCTACTGTAGAGAAGAGAAGCGGTTTTGGTCGCCCCCCTTGGCCTGGTGTTATCGTTGTAGAACTGTTACCTATGTTTGGGATGATCGGCGATGTCCTTTGGTTATCTTAAGACTGTCGTAATCTGAGCTTAGGTTATTGCTTTTGCTGAACATGTAGCACTGTTTCAGTGTAGTTATCTTTGATGGAATTTGAATGTTATAAGGTGCGACGCAAAGAGAATCATTACAATATTTTGATCTCGGATGACAATAACATGCATAATTAATAGTTATTTTTCCTTCTGCATCTATCCCATACTAGTGTTTCTGCATCTATTCATTAATTATATCGTTTGGCCGCATCATATTTTTCTCTGTTCTCACCGACGACATTCCAATGGTAATTTGTTGGTAAATTCTTGTGCACCACAAACCCCTCCTGATTCTTCTCTGTGTCCTATTGCCCATCCCCAAAAGGAACCCAAAATTTCCTATCAAACAGTAATTGGTGCTAACAGATCTGGGGCACAACTCCAGCATCAAATCATGGAATCAACCAACTTATATTTGTACGGATCGTGGGGGGAAAGGGCTATCAATCTTAAGCACAGCACTGCCAATCTTTAAGCACAGGCGCACAGCACGGATTATCAGGTCGAAGCAGCAAACAGAGGCTGGTGAATACAAAACGCGTGGCTTTGCCGATAGGATGGGCGACGCAAAAGCTGAAAAAATGCCCAGAGACGATCGGTGTAGTTATGGCGGAAACGATGGCGGATCAAAACCCTGCTGGATCCGTCCCTGCACGTAAATTGTCTATACTTGTACTTGCGGTGCTAGCTGCTAGCATGAACACACGATAGATAACAGACCATCATGCCCTTACGTGATCTCCCATCTCATCTCACTTAGAGTCGACATCTTAGGATGTGTTTGGTTTAAAGAAAAGGGTGGATAGAACATGATCATCCATAAATTTCGGAAAACAGATATATATGTTATTTTTGTTGGATGGATGAGACGAGCTAGTTTTTTCTTTGTTAGATGGATGACAATGGATGAGAAGAGAATAGTTAACTAATTATTTTACTATTTAAAAAGTAATAGCAACTAATTATACACTAATAAAGATGCACTCACACTAATTTTATCCTGACAATCACTAATTAAAAACAAAATATTGCAGCCAGGGTTGGCATTGCTCAGACCAATCCATGCTGACACTATCGATGGCGGCACTGCTCCTTCGTGTGCTACTAGGGCGTTGTGTGCCTACCACATGCGGCCACTAGCACGCTAGATCGCGCTTCCACTTGTGCTTAGCCCCTTGCTCAGTGAAAAAAATACCCTTGCTCAGTGAAAAAATATAGACATCGTTTATTCCAGATTTCTCGCTAACTAAAGATAAAGATAAATGATGACTCTTTTGAGTGCATACAAGATATAGAAAAGTTATTGGAGGGTACAAAGATATATAAAATATTTTTACTCAAATAACTTTTCAAATGATGATTTAGATAATAAGTTTTATAAAGAATTTTAGTGATGCTCTTAGATACTAGGGCAGACGCAGAGCCCGAGCAGATAGCCTGCCTAAAATGTTAGGTTTGCCCATATTGAAGGCAAACTTATTTTTCCTAGTTTCTTCAAAAAAAAAATCCCAGCGTCCTCCTTCTACCTATTGTATCTCACACTCCCCGCAAGATCGACCGACGTGGTAGAAAAATCGGTGGCTCTTGGATAAATCATGATATGGCGAGCACGCATACCGGATTCTCTACCCCAGTGTCGTGTCGGTGTGTTTGATCACAGGATGTGAAAAGAGTGGAGGAGAGGAGTGTCAGGTTCGCATGCTTTAGCTAGACAAAGTGTCAGATTCGCATCGCTCAGAGATGTGGCATGTAACTTTGACATGCATATATGACCTGATCATGTTTGAGGCTTCGGTCAGCTGATAATGAAAGACAAGCAAATAAAAAAAGGGAGAGCAGACGCCACTGAATCGCGAGCGGTCGTCCAACTCAAAACGAGCGAACAATTCTTGGACATAAAGTACTTTTCTTTTTTAGAAAAAAATCCCACCACTTTTTCTATTCGGCAATGCCCATTCCGAGCTCTCTGCATGCGCTCAGTGCATCCTGCGTGCTTTTCCAACTGGTTGTGACGTCACGTGATGCAAGGAAAAATAAAGCAAAACATTTATTTCAAAATGCTACCGTTGAACGGTGTATTCATTTTCAATGCCATTTGCACCGGTGTGTTCTGCGCAACGAGGCAAACAAAACTAATCCACTTGCATATGTTTCAAAGAATTTTATTCTAGTAGCAACTTATGTATACTAACTTATAACATATAACTTATAACGTATGACTTATAACATATAATTTATAACTTATGCCGAAACTTGAAAACACAGAGTTATGAAACACAACTTATGTACAAAAGTTACTAAACACAAATGAACGAATTAACTTATAACTTATGCCAAAACTTTGAACACAAAAGTTATTAAACAGAAAGAAACGAATTAACTTATAACTTATACTATATAACTTATAATTTATACTAAAACTTGGAAACATCCGATAAAAAAAACTTGAAAACACAAAAGCTATGCAACACAACATAGGTGCAAAAGTTATCAAACACAACTTGTGTAGGTTATTCTGTATAACTTGCCAACCCTGCCAAATATAAAAAAAGAAAATAATACTAAAAAACACATAAAACAAACATAAATAAAAATAATAAGAAAAAAAAGAAAGAAAATAAAAAGGTAAAGGAAAAAAGTAAAAAATAAAAACAGAGAGTGCAAACCGCATTCACGTACGGTAATGATTGGGCAGAAACGTTCATAATAATTAATTAATACTATCTCAATTTAGAAAAAAAATGTTTTTCTAGCTTTGAATCTGGACACGTGTTTAGGTTTAAAGTTGGAATTTATATAATAACATTAACGATCCGGTAAGCCAAACACGAGCGGGCCAACCGTTCACCGCAAGAGAATCGAGCGAACGCCCGCGTGAATGGATCTAGGTCATCTCCCCTCCGCAGCTGCTTGTCCACATTTGACAATCCGCACCGGATCCCGTGTGGCACGACAAGAACGGCCAATACGAAACCGACGTGGCCACTTCCCGCGCCACTCGCTACGGTTACCCCTCCCTTGTTCAAACCTCCGCCGTCCAATCCCGCATCAACGGCCCGTACCATCTCTCCCAATTTCACAACTCCCAACTCCACCGCCGGCAAAATCCCCCAATCCTCCTCCGCACCCCGCGACCCCCGCCCGCCCGCGATGGAGGGCGCAACCGCCGCCACGGCGGCGATGGTGTGGTTCCGGAAGGGGCTGCGCGTGCACGACAACCCGGCGCTGGACGCGGCCCGCCGCTACGAGGCCGGGGCCGGCGCCGCCTCCGCGCGGCTGTACCCGGTGTTCGTGCTCGACCCGCGCTACCTCCGCCCGGACCCCGTCGCGTCCTCCCCGGGCTCCGCGCGCGCCGTGGTCGCCCGCATCCGCTTCCTCCTCGAGAGCCTCAGCGACCTCGACGCTCGGCTCCGCCGCCTCGGGTCCCGCCTCCTCCTCCTCCGCGCACGCGACGACGTCGCCGACGCGGTCTGCGCGGCCCTCAAGGACGTAAGCATCCGTCTATCTCTTCCGCCCTGGATGCAAAGCCTACTACTAGTACTAGTATCTTTTTTTTCTTTGCCCTTTCAACCGTTGCCCACTGGCTACACAATGACGAGATCCTGGGTACACCCTTCGTTCATTTGCGTTCAGTGGAACATCGGCAAGCTGTGCTTCGAGTCCGACACCGAGCCGTACGCGCAGGCTCGCGATAAAAAAGTCACGGTGAGGCTGCTAAGATCATTTTTCTCCACTCTCCGTATCTTTCCTGGGTGATGTTTCCTGACGAAGATTTTTGTACTTTTAGGATTTTGCATTGGCGTCCGGGATCGAGGTATTCACGCCTGTCAGCCACACACTCTTCGACCCAGCAGAAATAATAAAGAAGGTGTTCGAAACTCGGAAAGCTTAGGATACTAGTATTCAGTACCTGTGAACTCATGACTCATTACTCACAACCAAATGTGCTTAACTGATTCTGGTTTTGCCAATTTGCAGAACGGTGGCCGGCCGCCTTTGACATATCAATCCTTTGTCTCCATTGCTGGGGAGCCGCCAGATCCTGCCATGGAGGAATACTCCGAACTCCCACCGCTCGGAGACACAGGGGAATACGAGCTGTTGCCCGTGCCTACAGTGGAGGAGCTTGGGTATGGGGATATCAGCCAGGTAAGGGTGGAGTGGCAATTGCTCCAATGAACTAGTATTTCAGTTACTACTGGACTGGATTGGTCTCTCTGAACTGCTGGATGGCCATTCGCAGGAGGAGATTCCACCATTCCGTGGTGGAGAGACAGAAGCTCTGAGGAGAATGAAAGAATCGCTTCAAAATAAGGTGGTTGCTTCTGGAATAGCAACATTCTGACATCCATCAAGTTTGTTATTCTTTGATGTTTCTACAGGTGATCTGAAAGTGATGACTGATGACCTCATTCTTTTGTGTTGTTTTGGGTAGGAATGGGTTGCCAAATTTGAGAAACCAAAGGGTGACCCCTCTGCCTTTCTGAAACCTTCCACAACTGTCTTGTCACCGTATTTGAAGGTATGTTTTTTGTCAATAACTCAATGCAGCTAGCTGTTTATTTAGATTATAAAGTGTTAAAAACGGATTGTCATGCTGTTATTATACAGTTTGGGTGCCTGTCTTCCAGATATTTTTACCACTGCATTCAGGATGTGTACAAGAGCGTCAGAAACCATACAAAACCACCTGTTTCATTGATAGGACAGGTGATTTGTAACTGTAACTGCATTTGTTGAACATGAAAGAACAATCTGGCTACACGGCTTCTTTACTTTAGTTCTGAGTTCATGTCTCATGTTTTTGTAACAGTTGCTGTGGCGAGACTTCTTCTACACAGTGTCTTATGGAACTCCTAATTTTGACCGAATGAAAGGAAACAAAATATGCAAGCAGGTGACTCTGTTTGATCCGAACCATTCTCCTTTACAATGATGCACTTTTCATGAGCACAGTTGTAATCCAAATCCCATTTAGTTTAGATTCCATGGAAAGAGAACGAGGAGCTATTTGTTGCATGGAGAGATGGCCAAACAGGATATCCGTGGATCGATGCTATCATGATTCAGGTTTTCTCAAATGAATATCTACCAGAGAACCTCACTTTGCTATTTCTTTTCTTGTTCTATTTTTCTGTTCCTTCATTTGTGTCGCTCTCAAGAGTATCTGATAGCTTTCTTTTTGTGTGTTTGTCTTCCAGCTGAGGAAGTGGGGTTGGATGCATCACCTTGCACGCCATTCGGTTGCTTGTTTCTTGACACGTGGTGATATGGTATGTTCTGTGATCTGTAAAGCTTGCATTGAATAAGAACTCTGTTGGGAATTATTTACATTGAAATCTGCTTTATAGAATTTGTATGTTTGTAATAATTGTAGATTTTGCTCTTTTGGCAACTTTCGAGTTCTAGTTAAGCAAGAAGGTAATCAATAAGAGCTGTTTGTTTTGTTAGATGAGTCTCTTCATTGAAAAATATGGCTATTGGATTATTTAGATGAGCTATTTAGTGGGGGTCAATATTGTGCTGGTAGAATCTGGAGATTTACTTGCCTAACGTTCTCTGGGACATTTTTTATTGTGGACAATTGGCATTATGCATCTGAAGAAATTTCTAAAGACTGATTCCAATCTACCTTACATTGCCTATACTAACTTCTGAACCTATTTCTTTTAAAGTTTATTCACTGGGAAAAAGGACGTGATGTCTTTGAAAGGCTACTGATAGATTCTGACTGGGCCATTAACAACGGCAATTGGCTGTGGCTCTCTTGCTCATCCTTCTTCTATCAGGTTACTGATAATGCGCATCCTTCACATAGCACTTATTATTGACATTTTTGTTCATACTAATAATTAGCTTACATTTCTCGTGCATTTCTCAAAACAGTACCACAGAATTTACTCCCCTATCACATTCGGGAAGAAGTATGATCCTAATGGGAACTACATTAGGCATTTCATCCCAGTGCTGAAAGGTACTTCTGGAACAACATTTCAACGACAACATAAATAGTCTTCTGAAGCCAGAAGTCAGCATTGTTTGTCCCTTCAGATAGAGGACTAACCAATATTATTTTGCACAATTCTACATTTTACTAATTTAGACATGCCAAGGGAGTACATTTACGAGCCTTGGACTGCTCCCATTAGCATCCAGAAGAAAGCCAATTGTATTATTGGCAAAGACTACCCAAAACCAGGTAAAAATGAAGGACAATATGGTAAAGAAGGCTTCTCCATCTTTATGGTTACTGATAATTAGTTTATATTTTGCATCGGTTTGGTTTTACAGTGGTTGATCATGAGACTGCAAGCAAAGAGTGTAGAAAGAGGATGGGGGAAGCTTATGCGTCGAGTCGCCTTGATGCCAACCCTACTAAAGGGAAGACGTTGAACTCGTCGCGACGAAAAATGCCCCATGGTGACCAAGACACGTCTAACTCAACCAGTGCCAAGCTACTGAAGAGGAATGGGCCAGCTGAGTGATGTGCAGCTCCCACTTCTGTGACAACTTTACACTAATTGTTTCACCTTCAGCATTTATATTTCAGTTGCGCATCCAGCATCTGTCATACGTAGCTCGTCTGATATTTTACCAAAGCAGTTTTACCGAAAGGAAATGACTTGCGATCCGTAGCTACTCTGATATCCTACAATGAACTAACAGATCTGTAATATATGATCATGTAGCAGGCGTATGCAATAATTATAACTGCTGCCCATGTACTAGGTCTTATATGGGAAGGAGGGGGGGGGGGGGGGTTCCTAGTTCTTTGCAGAAAATGAACTGTTCAAGTGCAATCCATTTAGGCAGGACATGTGGACAGCCAATTCTTTTTTAGCATTGTTCTTCCTCTTCAGTAGCTCGGCTGCACGATAGAACAAGGCAAAAAAGAATTGATTGTCTCTACTACTCACCAGGGAACAAGTAAGTTAAACAAACTGTGACACCAGTAACAGCCGATATTTCGGTCATACTGTGAGTACTGCTTCCCAGATGTGATCTCAAGCTTTCCTCTTTGATGGTGTCTCCCTTGAGCTTTGGCCAAAAACCCTACTCTTCTTTACCGTCCAAACTTGCCACAAAATTTTTCGCAGAAGAAACAGGTAAAATAGATCATAGTGATGTGAAACTGTTTTTTACTTGGGATTACTAGTGTTGACAGCAAAAGGGGGTTATAGGGGTTGCATTCGGACTTAGAAATCAAATACAAGAGAAAAGGAATGAATTTGGGCCAATTTGGAGTAAATTGGACGTACCCTGGAAAAACCGGCCCAGGTTTCGGATCAGTCCAGTGTAAACGGGTCCAGGCTGGTTTTTAGCTGATTTGGCGCTGCTGCTGTGTAAATCGGCCCAGTCTGATTAAGTAGTTTTGCCTATTTGAGTCTGTTTCATCCCGAATTCGATGCAATCTCTTCCAATCTCATGAAAACTTGCATATCATATTTTATTAAGGTTTTTAACTAGGATAAGACCATCCCGAGAATCACGACCGATTGAAGTGGCACAATACACAATCCATCTAAAAACCAATCTATACCTCTTTTTCCTTTGAGCTTTTCCAACTTCGGCTGCTCAACACCTCTCTCAACGAGATTCGTTGGCATTTTGGCCTTGCCGATCCTACAACAACCTCGTTGTGCCCCTCCCCGAGGGGTCTTCTGGGAGGTGTTGGTAAAAAAAACAAACGTTTTCCTGCGCACGGCCGGCTGCTGATCATCCTCACTGTTTTGATTCCTCCCCGCTGCGTGCTAAGCAGTGTGTGGCCTCGAGCATGCTCGCTACTGCAAATATGTGACCTGAATCGGTATCAACGACTGGCAAAGCAACTAGCAAGAACAGGATACCGTAACAGCAAAACATACACTTTCTGTATGTTTTCAGACTACCTGTCGACTGTCGTCGTAACAAAGTCGATGCCCACTTTATCGTGGCGTTGCTGGTTGCTCTTCTCTGCTTGACAGCAGCACATTTTAGTGCGTGTTGGTAACCGCATTGGCAGGTTTTTTCTCGCATGGCATAACCTGAAGTCAGAACCGACTGAAGTAGGCGCCTCCCTTTCTCAATTTCCACATGCATGGGTTATGGGTATGGCATGGCATTTCCTGCTCAATTCTCAGTTCTCACACACGACTTCTTAGGATCAGCTTTATCTTTGCATTTGTTTTCTTGTGGCAGAGTCCATTCTTTTGATGCGGTAGCAGTCTAGCAGAGCACCTGAAGTGGCCCCTGTTCACCATGTAACAGCACCCGTTTTGAATGCATCGTCTATTGGCATGTCAAGAGCACAGGTATTCAGATAAAGCTACTAGCAGTTAGTGGACAGATCCAAGGAGATGTGCCAGATGGCTGGGAAGCACTATGATCTGACGCTTGTGAAGTCAGCCATCAGGTTCAGGTAGGTATCAGTGTACTGCTTGGCCGTTTCTTCTTCTTCTTCTTCCCCACCACATGGTTTCAGTGCGGTGCCTGATGGCTCCATGCCCCCGTGATGCGCGTGTTCAGAGGCAAAGATTTTCTCCCTGTTTGCTATGTAGGAATCCTGACCTGAAGGCGGCTTTGGCCTTGTGTGCTGCATGTCACTTATCCATTTGATGGTTCTTTTTTTTGAAGGACATTTGATGGTTCTGATGGTGACACAGAGGCCATGAGTTTGGCATTCTCTTCATCTCTTTCTTCATTGTAGAGCACTAGTTTGTGTAATGGTAAAAACCTAAGCCTTCTGTATCTCTTTAGCTGCTAACTTGCTAAGCCACACACTGACATTCATTGCCATGTGTTGACATCTACTCTTTTGTTTTTCAGGCGATCACAGTTCTGTTTTGGAATTTGCTGTTGGCCCTGGATCTTCGGTGGCTAGAGGTGAAAAAAGGGAGAGAGAACAGAGCGCGCACACACAGCATAAGCATCAGCGTTGGCCGGAGCTCTGTAGAGGAGATAGTAAAACTAAGTTCGCTCTTTTTACTGAGTTGCAGTGGGAAACTATATATATAACTCTACCCATCTAATCCTAGTACACAGACATAACAAACTGTCATGCTGCTACAGTGACTAGATGTGACAGCAAGGCTGACTTTGGCGCCTGCTCCTGCAGCGGCTACAGTGCGGCAGGAGAGCCTTTCGACGTCTGCTCCTGCAGCGGCTACAGTGCAGCAGTAAGGAGCCTTTCGATGCCTTTCCTTGCCACGCGTTTCTACATGGAACAACAGATTAGTTAACATTTGCTATGATTGTATCGGGTATCCATTCCATGCCTAGTGAAGAAACAAGAACAGTTACAGTTCGTTTTCCATGGATGGCATGCCAAAGCCTTCCACCTTTTGCAATATCAGTGGTTTGATTCGATCTTATAATTGCTTATGGGGCCCTGCAGCCTGCAGGTAAGATGTGCAATTATTGAGCTACCTTACTAGCCATACTCCCTTTTTCTTTGGATTTGACAGCCATGTCGTTTTCCAGCAAAAGATGTGCGCGTATTCACGTCATTTAACTCATGTATATGCCAGCAAGATTCCGAGTTCAGATTATCACAAAAGGAGCAGAACTAGATAGGAAAAGGAAAAGACCACTGAATAAAGTTAGTAGAGATACTCTGGAGAGATCTTTGGCCTGTTCATGTCCTATCAAGCGAGACAACATAACTCTGGAAAGAATGTCATCGAATTTGCCCGTTTCAGCGAAATTAATACCTGTCCCCCCACCCCCAAAAAAAATATCTTAATACCTTTTACTTTAGACCAATATCACATATGCTAATAAAGCTATGGTTTTGCATCTTGATTCCAATAGCAAAAAGAGCAAGTTTCTTGTGGCGAAACATGCTCACTTAGGTTAGGTCACTGACTTGACGGGTATGCTTCTATTTTCATGGATCTACTACGCAAAGTGACGACATTTTTTTTTCAATAATATAAGCGGCGTGTCCGTCGACAACGCCTATGATAATTTTGTCAATCTTAAGATCTATCAATTTAATCTCTTGGATGTATCTATAGGGGTGAGCGTGCAGCGTGCAATAAGTATTTTTATTTGTAAAGTGTTTCGTACGAAAATAAATTGATAAAATTAACCACTAAAAACACGAGTGCCAAAAAAAAGATGTTAAAATGTTGGGACAGTTAATACCACCATTTTACATGACTTCACCGGAAGATTCGGAAAGTTCAAGTACTCGGTGAACTGGCTGTTATTGTCCAAAGCACCCAAATATTTGGAGCATAATCAAATCTTTATGTTACTCGCCTTCCTTTTTTTATCTAGAGATGTTACTCTTACTTTTTATTTGATGCCAAATTGTACATGGATAATATAACTTCATGGAGTGACTATGATTTTGGATTAGATGTGACTAATGCGCTATTTGGTTTGAATCATACATGGATAATATTTTTGTTGAAAATTTAGATAATTTCAAATTAATTCCAAAGCATAAATCATGATAAAAGTACATTCTAGCATGTAATTCTCTAACATACTATATGAATTAAACAACATGAATGACAACACCGCATAATCAACAAACAAATTTTGATAGTAGATCGGATCACAACACACATACTAATCATTTGAAAATGTAGTCGTCATGACAAGAGTGGAAAAACGATGTTGTTGACGATGATGTTAGAGACAAGAACAGGTCAAAGCAGTTGACAACAGAGATGACGGTACACAACACCACCTAACTTGGACGGGAGACATCCCATGCCAAAGGATGTGAGCAGTCATGCGAAGCGCTTCTCAAAAATCTTATTCCTCCTCTCTTAGTGCAGGATCTCAAGGACCAGAGGTTCCGAAGACCTGCTCTACCGCACTCATTCGGTGTAGTGGAGTTTGGAGCTTGTTGTCCCACCTTTTTGTCAACTATGTATCCCAAGCAGGTTTGTAGCTTGTCTCATGTCAAAAGTCCGAGCAATTTCTTTCTTTGCCTCAAGCATACACCCAAGGAAGATTCCCATTGCACGCACATCACTACCCATTCTTCTCAGCACATTAGCCAACTGCTCACTCAACAAAATTAATAGTCATGTCAACATGTTTTCAAAAGCCTCTAGATCTCACCACTTCGTTGGCCTTCTTCCCCTTGGCCGTCTTCAAGTAACCCAAATCATTGAGCTCATTTGATCTGAAGAGCCTTGTGATATTCTTCTTGTTTTTAGCAAACTTTTATGATTCAAATAAGTAGTGGTAAACCAAGTAACTCCAGAGCGAACCAAGTCTTTACCAAGAAATTTCCTCATCAAATCCAACACCCTTGTAGGAGCATAGAGGAACAAAGTCACTTGCCTTGCACTTGAAATTGTTTGCTTAATTGGTCCAAGCTTCCCAAGATCCTCCAACATGAGATGTAGACAATGAGCTTCACATCCATTCAAACATATGGAGGGTACCTTTGTTACAAGTAGACTTGCCACCGTTGTATCAACACTAGCATTGTCAGTGACCACTTGGACATTTTCCTCTCCTATCTTTTCAATGCATTTGTCCA